AAGAGTAGCCCATGGGATCGTACATGTACTTTCCCCCTTATGACTCTAACTCCATTGTAGCCACTCAAGTAAATCAACCACGAAAAAAGGTTTCCCTTTCTTAAAGAAAATAATAGCCTATATATTTTTGATGATGGGACAGTCCCTAACAGTATACAGTAAGATTTCTACCTATTCATTGCAAATGGGGCATCGAAGATCCCCATGGGACCAATAAGCACTCCATGCTTTGGTAGGTAATATGTTATGGGCTAACTTCCATTAAAAAATTTTCATGCGCTGAGGACTTTTCCAACCCCACAGATTTCTCCATAATGCACATGGAAAGTGGACATCATTCGTCATGGCCCCTAATAGAGATGTATAACAGTTTTTTACCGTGACCCCAACCGTATTTTCATGTCTTCCAACCCGATGATCTGATCCATCCTCCAAAGTAGGTGACAAACAACTCCAGATTTGCTATATAGTATTTTCAGGTAGCCAAGTCCACAATAGCTCAACTTGCCAATTGTCATTGTCAGCCACATAATCATACACATATTTATGGGCTTCTTCTTTCTGTATATGATTAATAATTCCTTCAATCAAGGGCTGATGTTTTGGTGCCCATTTATTCTTCCAGAATAAAACTGAATTACCATCTCCAATTTTCCAAATGACCTTATTTTCCATAAATAGCCAAACCCGACATAGAGCCGATCATAGCCGGGAACAAATAGCCCTCTCAGTGAATGTCGAGATGTCAACCCCGCTGCCCATGTATTTTCCTTTCAGGAATCTCATCCATAAAGAGTCTGTTTTGTTATGGAATCGCCACGCCAACTTTGAAAGGAAAACATCGTTCATATTTTTGGCCACTTCAGTCCCAGCCACCCAAACTCCTTTGGCAATGTTAAGGTATCCCATCCAATCATATGATGCCTACGGGTAGTTCACTTTCACCCCATATAAGTCTCCTTTGAATATTTTCAATTTCATCACAAATGGCCATAAGGATCTTCATATACAACATGTGAAAGTAAAGGATCGAAGATAAAATGGATTGAGATAGCGTAATCATGCTTGCTTTGTGATAAGTCTATTGCTGCCAACCCCAAGCTCGGATTTAACTTTATCAATAATGTGCTCATAGTTTTGTTTGGTTGCACGCCTGTGTATAATCCAAGCACCCAAATATCTCCAAGTGAATAGGAAGCTTCAAGCGATCTGGGATCCCACCTTTGATCAAGATGAAGGTGTAGTAAAATGACCTTATGGGAAGGTCCGTTTGATATCCAAAACTGCTCAGCAACAGTCGGACAAGTGAGGAATGTTAGGGTAAAAATTGGGCACCTGTTTGAAGCTGCATCTCTTAATAATGTCCTTAGCAAACCGCTCTGACGTGTTCTTGGAGAAGAAGACACTAGTCTTTTGAACACTCAATTTCAATCATGATATCTCCTCAAATAAACTGATGCATTTCAACACTATTTCCATCTGAGGAAGCGATGACTCCGCAAACAACATTAGATCATAAGCAAACATTAGAAGGGAGATTGGGGGTCCACCTCTACCTACCTTAAAGGGATGCCAAAGTTTCACTGTCATTGTTGTGTTAATGATATGACTTAACTTCTCTAATATTGCTAGCACAAAAAGATAAGGCGGGCCGGGGGGTAGTGTTCCCTTCACGAACACCCCTAGACAGGTTAAAGTTAGACGTTTGGCCACCATTCCACAATACGTTAATAGAGGAAGAGGTAACAACATTCATAATAAGCTCACCAAAGTGATTGGGTAATCGGATCTCCCGGAGAATATTCTTTAACAAATTCCAGTTCAATCCGTCGTAAGCTTTCTCCAAGTACATTTTAATTGCCATGAAAGGGCACTTGCAATGCATCTTGGGCATAATGTGAATTAGATCTGCACAATGATAATAATATTATCTGTTTTATATTTGATCTGCATAACTCATAAAATAAAAAACTTAGAATTGGTTAAATTCTAGTTGAACCGGTAAAAACTGATAGTTTTTTTTTTTTTTTTTATAACAAAAACTGATAGTTTATTTGATTTGAAAAGTTGTTTTTTTTTTTTTTGGGTAGTCAAGTAAAGGTTCAATGCTAAGTTACAAAGACTAAAATTCGTGAAATGATATTAAAAACCATCATTGCCCCCTGTATGAATTTTATCATTCATCCATCTGATGATTTCATATATAGTTCCATGGACTTGTTTTTTTTCTCCCTATTATCCACTTGTACCACATTTTCCGTTGCATGTGTTATCTAAACCATCCTTATCTTTTAACCAAAATCCTAGACTCGGTCTTTTGATTTTTATCTTTTGAAATGATCTAGATCACAATTTTCTATATGAAATATTGCGTGATTTCCTGTCTCCAAGCAGATATAGGGAAATCTCAATGGCACTTATTTATAATTGAAACGAGATGCCTCTAAATAATGGAATTCCAACACAATTAGCTTTGGGTGGTGGACTGAAAGTATCTATGTTGAATAATAATCAGCATCTATTAGAAGATTACCAAATCACAAGTTTCTTTTTGACGGATTGTATATGCTGCGGAACGTACTTTTTTTCTTTTTTCTTTTTTTTTTTATGGGGGATGTGAGAAAACGCGTATAAATTGGCCAATTATATATACCACTATATCAACCTAGCTAACTTATATAGGCTTACCCCTAATTGTACCAGGCTTTGCTCTTTACCGATTGAACCCCAATAAAGGGCCAAAAGAAAACGATGCAACAAATAAAAATATGATTCGTGATTACAACTATAAGAAAGACCTTTAGCAATGATTAATACAACATAATCAAAACTAAAGAAAAAGAAAAGATACGATATCTTGCCTTGTATTTGATCAAAATTCAATTGTACAAGTTGTATACATACCACCTATATTCTTCTTTGAGGATCCCTTAAGAATTAAGATCTCATAAAGGTAAGACAGCTTGAGGGCACTCTCTGTTGGAAGAGCAAGGGCTAAGCCTTCATCACACACACAGCAATGGCTAGCTGCTTTTGCCTAAAGATCACGAATAATGCATGTATACTATAACCATAAATACATAAAAAATATCAAGAAAAGCTGAAAAGGAAGAAATAAAGCAATCCTGCAAAGCTTGCTTTGTTAAGAGAATTCTATACTACGGGTACAAAGTACGATGACCAACTTTACATGCAAAAAACAAGTGGTTGTTCAAGTGATACTATAATCTGTTTCTAATGCCTCGTCTAGACATATATAGTTGCATTCCAGGCAAACATCATGTGTGAAACATAACAATGCCATTCAATCTAATGTGTATAATTAATATCATATAAAATTAAATATATGTCTGTGGCCCTCATGCCACCTGTTATCATGATACTAATTTTCTTTTAAATAGTAGATTCTTTCATAAATTTTGCTATAATTAATTTGTATCTTCATATATATGGTTTACAATTAACAACTTTAATTACATGCACATCCTTTTAATTCATATATTTACACGTCTCATTACTTTCAATTTCAAAAAGTAAAATTTTAAATTATTACCTATTTTATTTTCTGAATACTTTTTACTAATGATTCCTTCAAGAAAAATATGAGTAATATCTAATTTTATTATAATTAACTATAACTATATTTATTTTACAAGGTGCTAATCTAATTAAAAGAAAATCGATGGAGGCTGGCCTCAACTGTAATATTTTTTATTAACAAAAGAAAATAACACAAAATCTTAATTACTTTAGCTTGAAAAAATTGTTGCATTTATGATTTAGATTGTAAGAGAATTTGGTATTAAGTTTTTTTTTTCTTGTTTTTTTCTTATATACACGTCAAAGAAGAAAAAGAAGAAAATGGGGCTTGTACATGAGCCACATGTTGGCTAGTAATGTATATTCAGAATTGGTTACGTTATTAAATTAATAATGTACTGTCTTCACTTCAAATTAGAATAAGATATGATGCAATTGGGATGTCCATATGAAGCTTGGTATTTATATATTGGATCAGTAGTTTGGGAGGGTATAAGGAAGAGACACCGTAAGGAATTGCACATCACAGTGCATGAATAAAAACTGGGTAACTAGAGCGTGGGGTGTGTGTGCACAACTAAAGAATAGAGGCAAAAAGTGCGTCCTTGATAAATTTAACCTCTTACTTATAAATGAGTTACCGCAAAATTGAGATGATTGGAAATGATAAAATATGTGGTTTATCCTTTATCTTCTAGTGATAGGATAATAGACTTATCCTAATCTCTTTAATTAGTCACTCGCTGTTAGGTTATTGGGATATGAGTCCATAAGGTGGGTTCAGAACAAATAAGTTGATGGAAAATTCCATTTTCATGCACTTGTTCACATTAAAAATGATTTTTGCTACTTTTTAGTTGAATTACTTATTTCTAGAATTTTCATAATGACAATAAAAAAATACTTATTAAGATCAGATTTATTTCAATAATGCCATTACAGCTGATTAGATAATGGTGTAAATGACCAAAATGACCAAGATGAGTGTTGTCACAAATTCCTGAGAGGTGTCACAAATGCCCAAGAGTTGCTACAAGGGAAGTTTTAGCATACCTTCCCCACCACACCACAGATCTTATACCTCAACAAGAAAAAGAAGAAAAGGAGAAAAAGTGGCATAAATAGATTGAACAAAATTAGGAGTATAGGCATTATTCTAATTCTCTAGGCATTATTTATATAATAAAAAGAAGGAATAGCATCTTTTTTAGTTGGGAAACAAAAACAAAGTGATAATAGTAACAAAAGAAAAGTTGGGAACAATATCACCTAGGGGAGAATTGTTGCGTGTCAATTCATAAGTAGAGGATCAGAACGCGTATGCTTCTTTCTGATTTTTTACGTACAACCATGACAACCATTCTTGTTAGTGATGATTTAAGAGAATCCTTACCCTCCTTTTTTTTTAATAGTAAAACAGTAGGAAATCTGGTATAACCATGTGACTTGCCACTATAAATTCGAAAGTTCCATGTATGCTACTTACAACCAAGACAGACAAAGTACTTAACACAGAAACAGAAGAGCTCAAGTATCCTTGAAAAAACTAGAAGGGGTTGAGAGTGTTGTGAGTATCACTTGCACATCATCATTATATCAGAAGAAGGAGCATATCACTATCAGAGAAGCCACAATGGGAGCCAAGAGGTCATCTTCTAACTCATTTTGCAGTGTGTTCAAATCATGTTTCTCAAGTGGAAGCAGGTATGATGACTATTGGGAGGCCAGTGGCAGCAGCAGAAGGGTATTTGCTAGTGATGAAGACAGAGGACGTTGGGTTGCAGAGCCTGGTATTGATAGAAAAGCCTCTGATTTCATTGCTAGATACTATGCCACCAGAGTCACTGACTCTCAGAGCCAATTTGCATCTTGAAATTTCTTTTCTTCAATGCTTTCCATGTAGCTATTTTTATTTTTATTTTTTTATTTTTTTCTCTTTTACTCAGACCAGTTGTACTAGGTTCCTACCTCTCCCAACCCTCCAAGTGTGGATCCAATACTTGTTAGCTCAAATAATGTGGTCTTTAATAATTTTAAAATTTATTCATTATTATTAGAATTTTAATTAGTATGAGTCTTTAGCAATTAGCAGTATATTCGTTCATGATATATAGCTTCAGCATATTTAATTTGGAAGATTATATGTTATAGCAAGATTGGAGATGAGCTTTGAATCCTCTGATAAGCATAAAATTTTAATGCGTGCACTATTCTATTGAGAAAAATATGCTGACTTTAGCTCCTATCACAGCATCATTTCTGTTTTGGTCATTTGACAGCAAATAATATCTCAAAAGGGCTTGATTAAAATTCAGTAAGAAAAAAAAGTTCTATTCAGATATTGAATAGCCAAGTGCGTGATCTATATTTTTTCAAGGGATGGATATCATTCACTATTGTTAGACAAAGTTTACTGTATTTTCTTGGATCAGCAATCACCGTGCTAGTTTCTTTATTCTTCTCTTCAAGTTACACATATTGTAGCTCACAACTTAGTTTAATTAAATAATGCTTATACAAGTATCAGTTTGGCAAAAACATGTTAATGATGGGACACAGTTTCTTGTCAAGAAGGGAATTTTAGAGTACGCGATGTACATTGTATGTAATTTTTTCCTCTCTCTCTCTCTCTCTCTCTTTTTCTCGTGATAGAAGCTCTTTATGTCACCCTTCACTTCAGCTTTCTTTTTTACTTAATATTCCCTGGTCCTTTTGTTCAAGACAACAGGAGAATATTATAATTTTGAGTAAAAACAAATTTAAAAACAATTTCAAAATCAAATAGTTATGAGCTGGTTCATATTGATCCAAAGAATGTTTTGTTTGGTAAGTTTATAAAAAAAATAAAAATCATCGTAGACACACTTTTTTTTGGAGGAGCGGGGACAATTGATCATAGAAAGAAAACTGTGCAAGAATATATCTCAAAGATGAATATACAGGACAACATGATTTTGTAACATTGATTTTTTTAAAACGTGACAGCAACTTGAATTCTAACTTCTATTTGTATAGGATACTTTGTTGATTTCTTTCCCTCTTTCTTCTTGGGCATGGCATTGATTTTTCACTGCATCCAAATAATCAAACTAAGCTTTGCAAAAAATTGAGATGATGAAGGTTATTTTTCGTTTAAGTAAATTGAACTCCAATATGGATGCTGCTGCTAATGCTGTATTTAAGAAAGAAAAGAAACTTAAAATTCAGTTAATATGGAAAGTAACATCCATTTTGGGTTTTTCATGAATAAGTTAATAAATCCATAAATTCAATGCCTTAAATTTTGGATTAGGATATATATATATATATATATGTTCTGGTCGGTCTACATAGACCCAATAAGTTGGGCTCGCCGTCCAAAACCCATTAAAGGCCTAGTCCAACAGTATTTCACAAGTGAAGTCATGAATCTCATCATAGAGAATTTTTCTTTCCTTACATAGTTTAATATGCAAAAGTAAGATTGCGTACAAGATTTTTTTCTATCTCACACTCCCTAGTAGTGATTTTTTTTTTTTTTTTTTTACATAGCTTAATATCGTACACGCACAACCACGAGGTGGTGTCTCATTACAAGAGCGAGACCTAGGTTAACGGTTTTAGCTCTCTCTCCCACAGCTGCAAATGTACATGCAATGCCGGATTTTAGAGCCACGGTAGCCTTTTCATACACCCCTTGTAGCTTTTTCAGCGACTGTTATGGTGACTCTTTTTAAATCTTGATCTATACCATTGCCTTCTTGAACACCCATATATTGAGATACTTCACCCCTTGAGAAGGATACAGACCTAGCTCCTATTCCCCAACAGCTCAACGTGTTTTGAGCTCCTCCCTGTGTGCTAACATACATACATACCGCATATCAAAATGGAATATGGTAAATACATATAAAATTCGCTTGCCTTCAAATTTCCAAGGATAGACTTGCATCTTTTTCAATTTTGGAAATGGATACTCTCAAGTGACAAGAGATATATAAAATCATTAATGTATACTCACCCAATAGCTTAAATTTTTGGGTTGAATTGGTTTTTTATATGTTATCAGCCATTAATGTAGCCTCATCGAACAGCTTAGGCTTTTGGGTTGAATTGGTTCGTTATACATTCATATATGAAAACCAAAAAACATGAGTTGAAACATAACTTTTACTTGCATAAAGGAAGCTTGTCCTCTCTGCTTCATATGGGGTTCACTATGAAAACCATCGGCAAAGGTTGAACTGAATCACCACAAAATGTACATCAGAATGACAAGATACCAAAGTGTACATTGGAACCTCATTCCAGCATCTTGTTTATCAATCAATGACTATTACTTTCAGTGACGGGAATACTATTCAATTATATTTTTACCTTTAAGTTCTTACATTGTATCAGTCCAAAATATGTATATACTATATGCCTAGTAAGCTGGAGTACAGATAACTATCAACTCACTCATGTTTCACTTTTTCCTCATATGACATGAAATTTAACAACCTTGTTGGACACTTTTTCTATTATGCAGCATTTCAGATTCTAACTTAGCCTGGTTAATTAGATGGTCTTGAAGCAGAAAAAACGTGCCCTTCTGAGAACTATTGGAATCTGATTTGAAGCTATATGTTCTGGAAAGATAGCAATTATATTGGGGTGATAGAGGTCCCATATTGTTTGTAACATTTTGCAATGCAGTAATTTGAGGCAGAGAGCATCTTTGATTTGTTTTGGTAGTTACTTTCGTCGGAATTGAAATTGTTACTTCTAATAGCCAAAATTTATAGTGGAGAAGGGAATCTAACTCTCTCGTAGCCTTTGTCAACATGCACATTTATGCATTTGGAAACTTGAATTGTAAATGGTGTTTGCCTTGATAGAATGTTATTAGAGTACAATGAACCTGAATAGTGAATGGAGGGCAAGAACACTTTTGAGTTGGGAAGTTATAAACAACTACTACATGCTATGAATTAAAGGCTAATGATAACAGTCAAAGTGCTAGATTATGGTAAGTTGGGAATAAAAATCTAGCAAAACTATGAAAAGTTTAAAGATAGTCTGTGGTAACTCATTACCTGCTGCAAATGAGTGTGTAGTGTTTTGGACAATCTGATACGTTACCAGAACATCACAGGCTATCTTCTGATTGTTTCAGAGAACGAATCACGAGATGCTAAGAATTAAATCGAATAAAAATAAGAATATGAGTATGTTAGATAATCTATTTGATTCTAGATTTTATACTTTTTACTAAATGAAATTAAATAATGAAATGGGACTAAAAAATAAATAAAAAATATTGGTGTGATTTTATTGTGCCTACGTATTAGTAACCCACTAACTTAATATATATTTTGAAGGATGTTTCTGGATATTTTGTTTATGTTTATTAATGTTTTCCGATTCTAATTAGGATAGAAAGTTGTTTGATGTTTTGATTTGATTTATTGGATTGTTTTGCCAATCATGTTTGCCCCAAATTTTTTATTTTTTATTTTTACTATCTACCATCAATTCCACTATATTATTATATTAAAATATTTTAATATAATAAAATATTTTAAAGTATTTTATCTTGAGTGAATTATAAAAAAATAATACAAGAAAAAGAAGTGAACAGTCATAAAATAATTCCTTCATTAGAGATAGGAGACAAAATTTACACGGATATAATAAGTTTTGGTTACTTATAGAATATGTTCCTCTTCAATTATGTTGTAAACAAACAATTTGTGCTTGTACTGTAACCCAATGACCTGAATTGGACCAACTTGATTATGGTTAGATTGGTTTGACTTGGGTAACTTAATTTTTTTTTCAAAACTAAATCAAACAAACACAATTTAATGGAATTTGATTGGTTTATATATATTTTATTTTAACTAACCAAAACTTACTCGTGAAGACTACTCCTATTGCCTAAGTTATTAATTCTAAGAATAGACCGAAATTAATTATTAACATGTGTTTAAATCTCAAATTTTTTGGCTAAAATTTATTAAAACGGAATTTAAACAAATTTTTTGGGTAGACATTTAAATTTGGTCATATTTTCTTCAAATAAGTGCTTAGGTGGATCACATTTAATATATATATATATATATATATATATATATATATATATATGGGTTTGCTTTTTCTGCAGTTACTGCAGATAAGTTATCTGCAGTAAGCCAATACGACGTTATTTTGGGGCGAAAATCATGGTATTTTTGTAATTTTAATTTATTTCAAGGTTATAATAGTCTTTACATTTATAATTTTTTAAGATTTCAATACCAAAACGACGTCGTTTTGGGAATAAATGCAGATAATTTATTTGCATTAACTGCAGAAACATTTTTCCCTATATATATATGGGGTTTACATTTCTGCATCTGTTGTACGGGCAGCAATCAAATACTTACCATATATATACTTGAAAGCATTAAATGCAGGGAATCATAATCATACAAAGGATGAAGTTTTCGCTTTTTCTGCAGTTACTGCAGATAAGTTATCTGCAGTAAGCCCAATACGACCTCATTTTGAGACAGAAATCATGGTATTTTTGTAATTTTAATTTATTTCAGGGTTATAATAGTCTTCATATTTATAATTTTTTAAGATTTTAATACCAAAACGACGTCGTTTTAGGAATAAATGCAGATAACTTATCTGCAGTAACTGCAGAAACATTTTTTCCAAGGATAAAAGCATTAAATGTGGGGAATCATAATCATACATCTGTCGTTGTTGTACGTAAAGCGGCTGTTGAAATGATTTTGCCTATATATATACAGAATATTAATAATATTTCTGCAGTTACTGTAAATAAGTTATTTGCATTTACTCCCAAAACGACGTCGTTTTGGGATTGAAAAATTAAATAATTATAATTATAAAGACTATAATAACCCTGAAATAAATTAAAATTACAAAAATACCATGTTGAGATATATAGTCCCATATTGGTTGTATGGGCAACTAATGTGGAGTTTATAAGGCCTTGGACACTCCCACCCTTTGAG